CTCTTCTAAATATCTCATATAATTATAAACTCATATCCTCATGCATTGCTGAAAGACTAAAACTAGTCTTAGACAGTATAATTCACGAAGACCAAACAGGCTTCTTAAAAGGAAGATCTATCGGAGAAAACATAAGACTACTCCATGATGTACTGTTCGAAACTGAAAAACAAAATATACCTGGAATGCTGTTAGTAATTGACTTTGAAAAAGCTTTCGATACAGTATCATGGGATTTTATACTCAAAGTTTTCGACCTCTTCAATTGGTGAATCCATAAAACAGTGGATTCACATGTTCCAATATTGGTTCTGAAGCCTGCGCTTATTCAAAATGGCTTATTTCAAGAATTTTAAATTAGGTAGAGTTGCCGACAAGGAGATCCGATCTCCCCCTACATCTTTATCCTCTGTGTGAAAATTTTGGGCATTAGAAACAACAAAAATATTAAAGGCATAAAGTTATGGAATACCATATTAAAATCTCCCAATATGCGGATGACACATCCCTTCTATTAGACGGTAGTGAAAAGTCATTAAAAGAATCGCTAGATGTATTTAAATGGTACTATGAAATATCTGGTTTAAAAATTAACATAGGAAAAACTAAAGTAGTCTGGCTTGGATCAATGAGAGAGTCGGATCGACGTTTTTGCAGAGAAAACAATCTGGAATGGACCAACACGTTCAAATCATTGGGTGTTGAATTCCAAGTAACAAAATTTACAAAATATTACGGAATGGAATGTACTCCCCAAAATTCAAAATATGAAAAACATCTTGCACTCATGGTCTTATCGAAACATAACCCCATTAGGCAAAATAACTGTTATCAAATCACTAGTTCTTCCAATGATAACTCACTTATTACTAGCACTTCCAGATCCAGATGAAAAAATTATCAACATGCTAGATAAAATGTTCTCAGCGTTTATTTGGAACAACAAACCCCCCAAAATAAGTAAGTCTCAACTGTCAAAAGACTATGAAAATGGAGGCGCTTAAAAATGGTAGACATAAAAAATTATGTGATAAGCCTAAAGTTGTCTTGGATTCGAAGATTTTGCACTAAACAAAATGCCTGGAATTTGTTTCCTAATCAATACGGCTTGAATACAGTGGTTAGCATGGGCCCGGTAAATAACGCCTTTGTTTCAAAAATAGAAAATCCTTTCTGGGCAAATGTTACCCAAGCGTGGACAAAGTTTAGTGAAAAATTTGAACCAAAACATAATATAGATATACTAAACCAACCGATATGGGGAAACCAGTGTGTTAAGTTGGATTTCATTAAACCCTGGTATAACCAAGGTCTGGTATATATAAAGGACATAATGCAGCACGATACTGGTAATATAAAAACTATAGCTGAGCTAAAAACTGATTACAATATTAACATAACCTTTTTAGACTACATTAGATTAAAAAGAGCAATACCACAGAGCTGGCTAAAGGCATTAGCCAATAATTAAAATCACCCAAACCCCTCCATACACCCCAGCTACAGGCTGTCCTAAGCGTAAACAAGGGATGTAGTGCTTATTCAAAAAATTCTATCTCTAAGATAAGGATTCTCAAAATTGCCCATCGTCACAGGCAAAATGGATACGTGAGCTACCCCAAACATAGATCAGCTCAATATATCCCAAATGCCTCGGCAAGATATATAAGTTGCCGTTTACCACTACACTTGATGCAAATTTAAGATATTTCCAACATAAAATATTAAAAAGAATTTTACCTACAAATAAACTTCTCACAACAATTGGCATCAAGGACAATAACTCTTGTACTTTTTGTAAAGTTAGTATTGAAACATTGCTTCATCTATTTGTAGAATGTGAATGTATTGCTTTGATATGGACCGATCTGCTCCAGTGGTTGATATCTTGCGGATATACACACTTGAAACCTTTGGAGGCGCAAGATATTATTCTGGGCTCTCCAAAAGAAGATATAATCTTTAATTTCATATTAACCATTACTAAATATGTTATATATCGCTCAAAGTTAAGCGAAAAGATCCCAACCCTGGCTGCAGTGAAGGCATATTTAAGATACATCATGGAAATTGAAAAATACATAGCAGCAACAAATAACAAACTCGACAGATTTTATGGAAAATGGGCATCAGTAATGCACAAACTTTAAATAGCTTATATTCGTAACAGTTTGTAAGTATTTAACATATACAAAAAGGCCTGGTTGCCTATATATATATATATATTGCTTATTTCTGTTGCTGCATGTTGCAGTAGATATCCCCTGCCAAAAATTATGGCAAAAATTACTCTGTATAGCTCTCGTCATATACTAATTATTGTTCATATGTACCAATGTATGCCTATTGTTTTGATTGTTATTGCTTTGGTGGATCTAGAAATAAGAAACATTATAAAAAATAAAAAAAAATAAAAAAAAATTACGGTTAATCGATGAAATCGTCTGATTGCAGTGTTGTGTCGTATAATATTTGAGTGCACCTGTGTTCCCATATCTATCACCTGGTTATGCATTGCTTAGCACATACGATAATAGGAGCAGTGGCTATAGTATTTCATTGGCTAAAAATAACTTTGGTGGCTTAGTCTTGGCTCAAACTTCAAAACATCCAAAGGGAGCCCTGGAGCCTGGTCAGGCTAGGGTGTTGTGTGCCCCTACCTCTTGTGTTGCGTCGAATTGAAAATGTTGATGGGCGGTAATTTTAACTGCCTTTATTTAAAAAAATGTTACGGGTTAATCGCACAACTGTTTCAAAACACTCATTAAAGTATGCCAGATTTTTATGTTTTTTTATTGACAAAAATACATATAAAATACAACGTTCTGTAGCAGTTTATTGGCACCTAGAATCCATGAAAATGTGTTATTTTATAACATATCCTTAAACGAAATTCAAGGCCTTATTTCCTCTCAAACCCCCATCAGTACCAGTGGGGCTCCAATAGGACATAGGTGTCACAGCCCCCAACGACTGAGTCTGAGATATGAGGATTATCACCATAATACTTGTGGGAAACGTCAGCTTGCATAGGTGTGCAGTTGATGTCGGTGTGCTCATGTGGATTATTGAACTTAAATTCGGAGGAGATGGTCGAAATCATTGCAGATTTCTGTCGTATTCATATAGACAACCGCGTTTTCAGTAAGAATGTCTAAAGCTGGGTTTACAACTTTTTGCTGAAAAGTTGATGAGCTTATTATTGTTTCAACTAATCGACTGAAAGTCAGCAGTGTGAAAGTAAAATTTGAGCACTCAACAAGCTGATAGTATCTACTTGAGAGATTAGAACATGGCCGGTTTTTTCAACTTCCGGCTCGCGAGTTCAAGTTCTTGCGACTCAGCCAATCTGATAATAACAATTAGGAGGTGTGTCCCTCCACCCAGGGGGAGAGCGCATTTTTAGCTCGCCTTGACATCGTCAAATTCGAATCGGGCCAAAATCTCCTCCCGAGCCAAACTTAAGCCTCCCGATCCAGACGTAAGCCTCCCGATTGCGCTCGGGTTGGATAGTGTGCGGCTAGCATAAATGGAACAGCCTAGTCAGACAGGTGCTGTCTGCAAGGTGTCACGTAGTTTGTCTGCTAATCAGACAAGGGTTGTAGGGTTGAGCCTAGGGTTAAGATAGTGTTATCAGACATGAGAATATGGCCCCCAGTATGCCTCAGATTACAGGAAAATGGCTTAAATATTAAAAAAAATTTTGGGGGGGGCATGCCCCCAAACCCCCCTACAACTGGCATGCCTACGGCACGGGGACTTGCCTGCGACAGCCAAGGTACATTTACTCCCCCCCCCCTTTTCCATCAATTTCTGAATACGCCACTAGTTAGTGATCACCGCGGGAACATACCGCATTTGGAGTTCACAGGGTTGGAGACCCTGAATTGGGTATAGTTGTTACTGCTATGCTCCCATATTAAACGTTCTATTTTGGAGCAGGCCAGTCGACGTATTTTCTAGCCATGGCAATGTTTTGGCAAAAATGGGAATTGCCATTAGTCAGTTCAGGTTCAACGGATTTTGCTCATTTTTGGTATGTGAAAGAATAAGGGCTAGGGGTTTTGATATTTAAATTTTCTTTATGCAAATTAGGTAGGGTTTGGCAATTATATAGCATATTATATAGACACGCAGATAACAAACAGTCTGTGGTGTCACACTCGTCTGGTTCCTTTGAGATTTCATTGACAATATCTTTAATGCAAAATTCCTGCTATGAACATATTATGATTTATACTATTATTATTATATTATTATTATTATGATATAATGAGTTATGCTAAGAAACATCAAATTGTGATTAATTTTGGTTTATAAATTATTTATAATTTATATATAATATTATTTATCATTTTCACATAAAAAATTACACATATAATTAATCAAAGTATATAATGGGAGTTCTCCCATATATACCTCTTTGCCGCCGGCATCGAGCCTCGCCCCGGGGACGCGTTTCTATAATGTCACGTTGATGGTTGCTGAATTAAAACTGACTTCTTCTCACTCACTCATTTGTATCTTTTTTTGTGGTGAGCTACAGTGTCATTGAGACTTTCATTTTATTTCTGTTAAAGTGGTGATCTTCTCTGTGACGTCGGAAAACCCCGCTTCTAATTTGTTATTTAGACTTGCCTTTAGGCCGACGACGAGTTCTCGGAGCTCCGCGTTCGTGACCTCGGCACCGGCTTCATCATTGTGCGCCATTGCAGTAGCCATGCTAACTGAAGTGTTCTCTCAATGAACTCGGCGTTCATAGAAATATCCACTGTCTCCTTTCGTTCCTTGTTTTGCCTCGTCACGTAGTTGTGCATGGAGTTTTTCGAGACCTTCTGCTTAGCTCCACGCATAAAATGTCGATTTTTTGGATACTTTTCCTTTAATTTTCACAAAATATATGGGAGCCGATGTATAACACGTCTTATTCACTGGGCGCCATTATCAGAAGTCTAAGCTGAAGGTAGTTGGTGATTAACGTTGATCTTTTTTCCTCGCAGGAAGTCGAGCGACAGACGGGAGAACCTGCGCGGGGGAAAAAACTGCTTAGCTTCCCAACTGTGTGATGGAGTCTTCCAACTTAGATGTACCGCCTGCAGGAGGAGAGAAGCCATACGCGTGTGATACGTGTGGACACAGATTCGCACTAGAGAAGCATCTGCAGACCCATGCGCTCATTCACTCAGGAGAGAAATCTTATGCGTGTGATGTTTGTTCACATGCCAGCACTACCTCTGCTAATCTCAAGAGTCACATGCGCACACATGGAGAGAAACCTCATGTGTGTGATATTTGTTTATATTCATGTTCTAAATTAAGTTGTATGAATGTTCACTTTCGAAGTCACTCAGCTGAAAAGCCCTATGCATGTGACAAATGCGAGTACAAATGTACGTCATCCTCTGCTCTCCAGGCACACAAGCTAACTCACACAGGAGAGAAACCCTACAAGTGTGACACATGTGACTACAGGTGCACTCAACTATCCAATCTTAAGACACACAAGCGAACTCACACAGGTGAAAAGCCTTATGCATGTGACAAATGCGAGTACAAATGTGCGTCATCCAATAATCTAAAGAGTCACAATCGCACTCACACAGGAGAGAAACTATACACGTGTAATATGTGTGACTATAGCTGCTCTCGAATGGCTTCACTCGAGCAACACAAGCACATTCATACAGGAGAGACACCCTATGCATGTGATACATGTGACTACAGGTGCGCTCAACTATCCAGTGTGAAGACACACATGCGCTCTCACACGGGAGAAAAACCCTATGCATGTGACACATGTGACTACAGGTGCTCCCAACTATGCAATCTTAAGCAACACAAGCGAACTCATACAGGAGAGAAGCCTTATGCGTGTGATACGTGTGACTATAGCTGCTCTCGAATGGCTGGCCTGAAGAGACACAAACGCATCCATACAGGAGAGAAACCCTACGTGTGTGATATTTGTTCATGTTCATATTCTGACTTGAGTCGTCTGAAGGTGCACTTTCGAACTCACTCAGGAGAAAAGCCCTATGCATGTGACAAATGCGAGTACAAAGGTATATCCTCCTCTGCTATCCAGGCACACAAGCGAACCCACACAGGAGAGAAACCCTACAAGTGTGACACATGTGACTACAGGTGCACTGAACTATCCAATCTTAAGACACACAAGCGCACTCACACAGGAGAGAAACCCTACGTGTGTGATATTTGTTCATATTCATATTCTCGCTTGAGTAGTCTGAAGGTGCATTTTCGAACACACTCAGGTGAAAAGCCCTATGCATGTGACAAATGCGAGTACAAATGTACGTCATCCAGATCTCTTAAGCAACACAAGGGCATTCATACAGGAGAGAAACCACACGTATATGTGTGTGATATTTGTTCATATTCATGTTCTAACTTAGGTTACATGAAGGTGCACATTCGAATTCACACAGGCGAAAAGCCTCATGCATGTGAAACCCTACAAGTGTGACACATGTGACTACAGGTGCACTGAACTATCCAATCTTAAGCGAACTCACACAGGAGAGAAACCATACGCGTGTGATATGTGTGACTACAGGTGCAATCAACCAGCAAATCTCAAGACACACAAGTTAACTCACATGAGAGGAAAGCCCTAGACACGTGATAACACACTGCCAATGACATAGCTACTGCTTGCACGTGATATGTGTGGATACATTTGCTCTCCAGGATCGCTGCTATTCTCATATGTTGTTGTAACCCCCCCCCCCCTCATCTTTCATTTTCTCATTGCTGATCAGTTCTCAGAAGTGCTTAGTGCGCTATAGATGTATAGATATAGCTGCCAGTTTTGTTTTTAACTTGCTGTGCTTTAGTGAAGTCCAGCGCCTTTATATATTGCATAGTTGACAAAGGAATGCCGACTAGAGTATGGCTTGTAAGTTCGTACTGTGTAAGCTTAGTCTAAAAAGGGAAGTGTCAAAAATCTGTGCGCGTGTGTGTGTGTGTGGGGGGGGGGGTATAAATACATATAGTTTGTAATAATTATTCATTGAGTTGGTCTATTGTCTGAATAGTATTGAGCAAACATACAACACGCTCGCACGCTCGTACTCACACACACGAACGCATGCACGCACGCACGCACGCACGCACGTAAGCAGTTATAAACACGCACGCAAGCATGCACGCACGTAAGCAGGTAAACTCACGCACGCACGCATGCACGCACGCACGCACGTAAGCAGGTATACTCGCACACACACGTAAGCAGGTATACTCACACATGCACGCAAGCATACACGCACGCGCTCACAGCACACACGTAAGCAGGTATACTCACGCATGCGCACGCACGCACGCACGTAGGCAGTTATACTCACGCATGCACGCACGTAAACAGGTATACTCAAGCATGCACACACGTACGTAAGCAGGTATACTCACGCATGCACGCACGCACGCACGCACGCACAGCCATCGCATCAGAACCTCTGAATCTAATCTGACCCTAGTCATTAACCTGAACGAAATATTATATGATGAAGAAACTCGAATATTTGTTAACAAAATTTAGGATACTGTCAGGATTACGGACAGGTAACATTCTAAAGGGCATCGCTATATACACAGCTGCTCATCAAATTTAATCAAGCTCGTATCCATTGCGTAAGGATGATGTCTCTCTACGCTCTCGATGAAATTTGTCATCTGAACGAAATACATGACGAAGAAACTCGAATATTAATTAACCAAATTTAGCAAATTAATTACAGCACGCAATCTTTTAAGACTGCATATCACAATCAAAAATCATGAAATATTCACAAGTAAAATACACGTACGCCGTACGGCTATTGCGATCTTAAATACATTATGCATTCCCCCATCCTTGTAAATATTCTATGATTAGATCTAGTACGTGCGTTTATTAGAAACGCGCCCTGCTTGGAGAGCTAGAGAATATGGAATTCAACGTTGGTAAACTCGATCATTCTCACTCAGTATTCTCATCCTATTTTCTGGAGGTGGCATATACTATACATTGGATGTGAGATCGTAATGATCTCAACGTCCTCTAGCTCGCATATTAACATTTTCCCTGGCATAGTATTTTATTTAATTTCTTTTCTGAATATCATGAAATTGTAGTTTTTCATTAGGTCGATGTTATTGGCACTTATTTAAGTGCGTCCAAACACAAAAATTGATCGAATTTCGCGTTAGCCGCACTTATAAGTGTGTCCAAGATGCACATAGCTCCATTGCCCACACTTATTTTACGTGCGTCCAAAGCTAATTTTAAAGGGGCCCTGTAATAATTCATGGGATTACTTCCCCATTCTGCGGTTGTGGTTGTTATTACTGGTAAACAATGCNGCACGCACACACACACACACACGCGCACGCACGCACGCACGCACGCACGCACGCACGCACGCACGCAGACACAGACAGACAGAGAACGGCAGTTGCATAGAGTGCTTTAGGTGTGCATGATGTGCTACCTCGTTCACGGCCTTGAAACAGCACGCATGGGCATATTATTATATATGCACATTATGCACCTGGTAAATCCCGGTGGTCGCACTCTGCTGGAGCAGAAATTCCACACCCCCATCCTCTTTATATCAATATGCATTCTGCGTAGCAGCATCTCCTGGTAAATCCCTGTGGTCGCACCCACAGGCACTTGAAGCGTTTCAATAAAATATAATGCTAACTAAATACGAAATCTATTTACTACCAAATTCTTAATGTTTCTATTTAGTTAGCATTATATTTTATTGAAACGCTTCAAGTGCCTGTGGTCGCACCCTGCTCGTCATCAGCTGTTGTGCAGTAAATTCCGTTCCGGTAGGGCAGCGTGTATAAAGGCTCAGGCACAGACAGATCCGACTGTCAACGCTCTATCGTCTGCTGACATCCCCACACGTGCACACGGAGAACGGTTTAATCTACACACCGACAGTCGTCATCGTCAACGTCTCGAGAAATTTCACCGATACATACGAGTAAGTTGTTTATATACATATTATATATGTATATAATTCTACCCGTCCTCCAGACGGGTTTGAGTGGGGTATGAATTGAGGAAGGCGGTTTAACCATTTATCTCTCCCTTTTAGTTGAGGATGTATTTACAGTAAATACTGATATGTAGACTCGAGTCATATATCAATATTTGTTTAAAAAGATTGTATCTAAATATATATAAAATCTGAAATTTTACCTTAAAATTACATACAATTTATCAAATAAAGGTAAATGGTGTAATTTCATAGTACAATTTCACTTATTTAGATATTATTTTTGAAAATATCATTCTGGTACGAAGCATCATTAATAAGTCAAATTCTTAAAAAAAAGCAAAATGCATTGAGTAGTTTTGAAGATATATGTTCTTGAAAGTCAGTGGACGGCGATTTAATTTAGGTGGACCGCTGTCACCATAGCATAGGCAAAGCCACACTAAACGCACACGCACACGACGGCATCGCGCGCATAGCACACTACCAAAGACATTGTGCGGCTGCGGTGTATAAACAGCCACTGCACTGGCCGCGCACAGTTGTGAAGACGAAAATTTAAGACAAACACCCAACGAGATACGGCAACAGTTGTATGTGTGTGTATGTGTGTGCGCCGGTGTGGCGGTGAGGGTGCGTGTGAGTGCTTGCGTGTGCGTTGCGTTTGTGCTTGCGCGTGTGACGTGTGTTGCTGTATTGTATGTATGCGTGTTGTGCTTAGTGCGTGTGCGTGTCGTGTGTTATCGTATGTATGGCGTCGTCTGTCGTGCCTGCATGTGGCGAGTTGATGTGGTGTTAATTGGTTAAATGTCTGTGGCGTGGAGTGCGCGTGTGATTGTGGCCTGCGCATGCCCGTTGTGTAGTGTGAATGCGTTAGTGTGCGTGCGTGCGCGCGCCGTGTGTGCAAATATTTGACACACGGTGAGTGTAGACCCTGCCGCGT